TCCCGCCGCGGCCTGGCTGCATTTCTAGCCAAGGCCGAGGGAAAAATGCTTTTCTACATTCATAAGAAGAGGGGGAGATGGACTCCTGCCACTGACGGGGCAAGAGGCAATTTAACACGTCCATTTGAACACACGAAAACACTTGTTTTATTCCTGTGAGGGTGGTCAAACACAGGCTCAGGTTGCCCAGGGATATTGTGAGTCTCCATCTGTAGAGATACACAAAACCCAGCTGGACACGGTCCTGGGCAACCTGCTCTCATTGACCCTAAGGGGGTTGGAGTGGATGATCTCAGGTGGTCCCTTCCAAATTAAATGATTCTATGATTATATTAGGCATTACACAATGATGTTAGCATTATACAAAAGCTGGTATTGCTGAAAACCTCTCATTGACTAGGTAAAACCATCAGCTGTAAAAGTTTGCAGATATTTTGTCATCCAAAGATGACTCTTCTATCCTGCACATCACCAAAAAAACCAAACATACCTTTTTTATAACTCCTGTAGTGGCCACAATGGTCTCTGCTCCTTCTACAGTCTTGTTTGCCACTGTGTTCACACTGGCTACTACAGCTTCTCCCACCACATTGGCCTGCTCTTTGGTCTTCTCAGCAACTGGGATTTCAACAAAAGCAGAAAGTCAATGAGCTAGGCACTGCCAGAAGGCTGACAGGTTCACTGGAACAATAAAACGATTGCATTGAAATAAGAGAAGAAATTTGCCCTCGTACAGTCCTTATTTGGATTTTTAATGTGAGATCACATCCGAATTTAGATTGTGTAAGTGAGGGTTTTGTCTGACTCAAAATGCTGCACAGCGAGCAGCACTGCAGCCCGTCAATCTTTGTGGGCAACTGGAGACTGAAAAATTCACTGTAAGATACTGGGAGACAACTGTGCAAGTTAGGTATTTTGCATTACAGACTGTGTATGACCTCTCTCTGGGTACCTTCTGTTTGATTTAATACACCTGGGTAGAAAAAAGTAATAATCATTGAATTCTCCAGGGAAAGGATCTGTTCATCTCTCTCCAAGGCAATCTATATGGCTACCCTGCCTTGGAGCTTGAGATACTGAGAAGGATGCCTTAGGGTCCCTGACTCTGTGACTGGCTGACAGGAGTCTCCCAAAGACCACAGTTTTGGCTGGACAGGATCTGATGCAAGTAAATCCTCTCTGCATGCCAGGCAGCACTTTTGACATTGTGAAATGTCTAAATTGCTGTGAACCATCCAAGTCTGCCAAGTAACATTTGAGGTTTTTTTCACTTGCTCTACTGATTATTTTCTCCCATCCATGTGCTCTGCAAATACCAGACCCTGAACCATCCATCGCTCCTGGCGAGCATCTTCCATTCATCAAATGGAAGGTCACACAGATCAGTGGTGCACCACAGAGACCTTCCATTTGGCAGGAGCGACGGCCTTATCAAGAGGTCCAGCAAGACATCACAGATTTCCACATCTCTCTCGGGACAGTGCTCTTACCTGAGGTCACACTTTGCACTACGCCTTCCTTGGTTTTGGTACCTGTGAAAGGAAACACACGGTCCATCAGTGCTACTTGGTTTCTGAACATGAATGGCTTTCTGTTCTTACAAGGTGCAGTGGGGAGCTGTGGTACTGCCAGCACCTTCTGCTAAGACACAAGCCATTTGTAGAGCCAGCAGAAGGGACCAGCTTCCTTCCGCAATAATGTCAATGAGTACCTTTGTGTCGGGAGTTGGATAACTTCAACCACAAATTGTCTGGAGATGCCTAGACCTGAAAATTCTTGATTATACCATGCTGAAGTATGAAAAATTGTCCCTGGAATATTTCCAAAATGAAAAGAACAGTCGAGTGGAGGTAAGTCAATGTTAAGCTAATTGTAAAAATCAATGTATATTAAGTCACCTGGTAAAATCTCACTACTTTAGTCTTTCAAGACAATG